ATTTTTAATCCATTTCATATGGAAGTTGAGCTTGCGCAACTTAGGAATGAACTGAAAAAAGTTCGCGCACACACACATAAAGAAACGTTAAACATAAAGACGAGGACAAATCTGTCAGGCAGCCTGAAGCGAAAAATAGAGGAGAAAAAGAGGAAACAGAACAACGGTAAGCATAGTTACCAATTTATGTTTCTGTCCACACTCTATTCCACTCCAAACCAAATAAAACATTTTATTCATCATTGTTTCCATGAGCAAATGAGGTTGTCATGCAACAGCTGTGCCTTGAATATTTTAACATTCCCATTTTTTTAGAGCCAAATTAATAAAAAATTTGAAATATATATTTTCTCCGTTCGATATTGCGCTTGAATTCATTAGGCTACAAAAGATATTATTCGTGTCTCGCGAATTAAGAGAAACGCACAGACTACAAAAAGACAACTAAACAAAACATTCTTCTCGTGAGCTTTGCTGCAACTTGTTCACTTGCTGATATACATAAAATAATTCAAATAAATAGGCCTACCTGTTTAGAATAGACACTTAATTAAAATAACTTTTAGGCTAAATAATAAAATAACGAGAATTCACTGACCAATATCAGCTTGAAAATGCTAACAAAGATGGATCCGTTTTTTTTTTTTATACAATTGAAAGGTACTGTTTCATCAGTCAGTCATGGAAATCAGGTGGTTGATGGGCTTCTGGCAACATTAGTTCCAGGAGAGAAGACAATTATATAGATTTGAGTGCACAGGTTTGAGCGTGCACATCTGAGTAAGAGAGAGCGCGCATCCTGTTTTGTGCATTATATACTGATAGATGATAGACTGTTAGACCCCACTTCATGTAGGTACGCCTCTGGGCACTTTTAGTTAATTCTGGAAAAAGGGCAGGGGCCCTTCTTTTCTCATTAAAATATAAGTGAAGATTTTTTTCTTTGTCTACTGTAGAAATGCTCAGATGCAAGTGATTTTGTGGGAAGGGTCAACGTCTCCAAGACTCCTCAAAGACTTTGTTATAAGCTGAACTTATAGTGTCCAGTGTCTAAAACAACTGCAGTGTAACCTATCACTATTTTACTGTGGTAATGGAGATGATGTATAAACTCCTACTAATGATTATTTCATGTGATAAATTCCCATTTGTTCTGAGTATTATCATAGTTTCACTGTTTTAGATCATCTAACATGATTTGTTCCATGTTTTTCAGCTGTTAGTGGTCAGTCTTTGACCTCCTCAGATTCTGTGGTGAAAAAGCCTGGAGAATCAGTGACTCTGTCCTGCACTGTGTCTGGATTCTCAATGAGCAGCTATTACATGCACTGGATCCGTCAGAAACCAGGGAAAGCACTGGAGTGGATTGGGCATATTGATGGTGGCACTGGCACTGTTTTTGCTCAGTCTCTACAGGGACAGTTCTCCATCACCAAAGACACCAGCAAAAACATGCTGTATTTAGAGCTGAAAAGCCTGAAGCCTGAAGACACAGCTGTTTATTACTGTGCTAGAGATTCACAGTTACACAAAAGACTGCAGGACTGAACAAAAACTATTCATGCATCACATCACAAAAGCAGTTCTACTGCAAATATCCCCAAAATATAAAATATTACTTGTTTTTAGATGTTATTCAAAACACTTAAGCCATTCTTTGGTAGCATTTTAAAATATTGGTCCATAGTTAACAGGTAACTATGCAGAAAGAAGTGCAGGACAAATGAGCAGTAGTACAGAAACACTTCATCTACTATTAACTACTCTGGAAACAAGTATAACTAATCATTAAGTAATAACGAATTTAGGTTTTAGACTGAGTTGATTTCTTATTAGATAATCAATAATTACTGAATAAAATTAAACTCATTAAGAACTAATTCATAACTACGACAAATTATAAAGAATTACCAGTTAATTACTAACCAATTTATTAACATGTGTGAGACACAAGCAATTTTCTATTTTACTGTGAACATGGTCATAAAATAAATATATAAATACATAAAATAAAAGTGACAGTAATAAAATAACATTTTTAAAATAAAAGTGACAATAATGACAACTATTGTTTACGTACAAGATAAGCAAGATAAAGCCATGCTTGGGGTTTTATTTTTATTTTTGGTCTGACTTTCTTTGTACTGATGTAAAATCAGCTGGGGGATGGACAATGCAAATTAATTGTACCTTCTGTCTTACACTCTAAAAAATGCTGGGTTGTTTCAACCCAATGTTGGGTCAAATATGGACTAACCCAACTGTTGGGTTAAATTTTGGTTACATTTTTAAATGAGCTTTTTAACCCAACAGTTGGGTTAGTGCATATTTGACCCAACATTGGGTTGAAACAACCCAGCATTTTTTAGAGTGTATAAACCCTCCATATTTAACTCCTCAGTATTTTGTCAGTGAGATTTTTGAACAAAAACTGCTGCAAAAATGGTCTTCAGAATTACATGTTTAATAAGCAAAATAGTATTTATGCACGGTAAGTATGATTTAGGAATATATTTTTATACTACTTTATTACTGACTGCTGTAGACAACGGTCTGACTTTTATTTTAACAGAGTGCAAAGGTCAAACACTGACTGAGTCTGAGTCAGTCGTCATCAAACCAGGGAACAATCATAAACTGACCTGTACCTTCTCTGGGATTGATGTTGGAGATGCAGTTATTTCATGGATAAGACAAGCTGGAGGGAAAGCTCTCGAGTGGATCTCACATATTTCTGCTCCAAGTGGCAGCAGCAAATATTACTCTAAAACTGTTGAAGGACGATTCACCATCTCCAGAGACAACAGTAAAATGCAGGTGTATCTGCACATGACAACTCTGCAGGCTGAAGACACTGCCGTTTATTACTGTGCCCGAAAAACACAGTAACACAAGAGGCTTCTGTGCAGTACATAAACTCAATGTGCTTTGGAGAAACCATACACTGTTCATGCCAGACATTATCAAAAACCGTTCAGATGGTAATCTAAAAAACTAGCCCATCTCTCATTCTTCAACATCAACATTAAAGCATGTAGAAATACTCAACCATCTCATCACAGTTAATCCCAAAACATGTTACTCCAACTATGAATAAAGGAAACTCTGTTTACCTTTGTGTGTGAAACAGTGTATATAAACTATATATTTTAAGGAACAATCTGTATGTTTTGTATGATTTGAGAAAACTGGATTTGGATTAAATAAAAACATATGCAATTAATTGGTAATCATCTATCATAGCCTAGTGAATAAGAAGTAACTAACAATACATTTAAAGGCAGCTATGGTTACAGAGGCTAATAAGGGCACAGAAATGCAAATGTACCTTTAGAGGGCACCCTATGCAAACCTACTTCTATTTGTCTTCCTCAAAAGTCTCCAAGCTATTCATCTCGACACAAAAACTTGTTTTGCTTGCTCTTTTCATAGCATGACAATGGATTTTGTGTCTAAATTGGGTTTTGTCTTCATGTTTGCTTTCACAGAATGTAAGAAGGACTCTTGAAAACCTGTTGATGATCAGACTTACTCATGTGTACTGTTGTAAATGTTAATGTTGAACTGTTTGTTTTTCAGTCTGTTGGTGTCAAACACTGACTGAGTCTGAGTCAGTGGTCATTAAACCTGGAGGATCTCACAGACTCACCTGTACAAATACTTTCTAAATCACACGTCTGAACCCAACAGACTCACTTTTTCATCAGGCCATGTATTAGCTTTAAACAATAATTTCTGTCTATTCAATTTTTGCTATTTGACTATTTTGATTTTAATACAGCGTGTAGGGTTGTGGTTCGAACCTGAGTCCCTTAGACAAATACTGAATCTCTAGACTATCTTGCCTTACAGTTTTAGAAAGAACTACTAAGTAGTTGTTTTACCCTTTGGTCATGTCTTATTTTAGGAGAATCTATTCCTAACTGACTATAGTTACACAATATTGATATGGTCACATGAAACATGTCAGTAAGGACAGACTCTGAGAGCATGTTGTTTGGTTTTATAGATGCTCATGGCAACTCACTGACTATGAACACACTACTGCTTTTCTAATAGCCTGTGTGCAGGACTAAAATAAAATCAGACATTGTTTCTACAATCACACACACAGACACACACACACACAGGTTTGTTTTTGTGAAAAGTGAGGACATCCCATAGGCATACTGGTTTTTATACTGTACAGACCGTATATTCTATTGCCCTACACCAACCCTACCCCTAAACCTACCCCTCACAGGAAACTTTGTGCTATTTCAGATTTTCAATACATTCCATTCTGTGTGATTTATATGCGTTTTGAAAAGTGGGGACATGGGGTAATGAAAAGTCACCTTCTCCTTGTAATACCTATGTCATACCTTTGTCATTATACAAATGTATGTCCTCATTTGTCACAAAAACGCGCACACACCCTGACACACAGACACACACACACACAAGCTGTCACTCCACATTTGTATTTTGAGAATCTGAAAAGCAACTCAATCACTATACATACATACATATATATATATATATGCAACCAGAAATGATAGCTTTAAAGTAAGTTCTACCAGAAAGATGTAATGCATGCCATTCATTCAACTATTAGCTCTGGCCAATCACCGCTTGACACTTGGAGTGTATACTGGTCTTTTTCTTTTATGTTCGCAGTTGATTTATGGCAGAATTATAGCTCTGAGCTGTGTGGAACACAAACATTTGAGGTCTTTGAGTCTTATGAGCTGATGAGTTGAATCAGGTGTGTTTGATTAAGGAGACATATAAAATGCACAGTGGTGGGGGTTCTTCAGGACCAGGATTGGGAGCCACTGAACTAGAAAATCAAACCATCATCTCTAAGTCACTAACACATCTGCTTATGATGCTGGCAGCTACTGGTATTGATATTAAGATTTCATAAGAATAATAACCAGGAAACTTACCAATTAAGTTATTTTGCTTTTTGGTTAATCATAAGAAAACATCAGAACATTTTTAGGCTGATAATGGAAATGTTACAGTATGGAGTTCTGCTGATGATTATGTCAGGTGAGAATGATTTCGCTTTTAAATATTTTCACAGCTGTTTATTACTGTGCATGAGAGTCACTGTTACACGAAAGACTGCAGGACTGAACAAAAACTATTCATGCATCAGATCACTGTAGCAACTTACCACAGTCAACAAATTATACTTATTTAGAAATATTATTTGAAATATTTAAATACTTTCTCATAAGTAGCTTCTCAAATAAATACAGTTTAGAGTTCTGGTATGAAACTCAAGATGGCGCAGTCCGATAGGTCTAACTCAATCTGACCTAATGACATTATCACATGGCACAGCTGATTGGTTCTCTCCTGTATCGGTAGCCAATGAGCTCACTGCTCAGCATTCAAATATATGACTATAGGGCTTACCTTAGCAGTTGCAGCTTGCTTCAGAAACCCTCCACCTTCCCCAGCTCCACCTGTATAGATCTGCTATGAGGTGATTCATGTATGCTATATGGGGGTTATTTCATGTATGTTATATTTGCAGCAGCAATATTTCTTACATGCTCACAGCAGCAGCAGCAGCAGCGTAGCAGATCTATTCCGCCAAGACCAAATACATCATCATTGTCATGTACATTATTATGCCAATCCCTTCAAGAGTTGCCATGACAGAAATGAGTGTATAAAGGTCTTGATTAATTAAGGTACATCATAAAGAGCATAGATTCAAATCCTTGAGGGTTGATCAATCAGCAAGATACAAAACCTGAACAGTTGCCATACATGACATTATGAAACAATATTCTGAAAATATAATATCATATATTTTACATAACACATTTTATTATAGCTGAACACATATTTATAAACTTTTATCAGACTTTATATATGTACATAAATACACAATAGACGGAAAGACAATGGATAATATTTCTATGTATACTGTATGAATATATACATATAAATGTGAACATACAGTACATCATATAAATATATTCAAATATATTTATACATGCACAGTACCAAATTTTATTACATGCACATCTATAGTTATATTTGTATGTTACTGAATATAAAATTACATAAATTATGATATACAAGTAAACATATTTTTCAATATTTCAATTATATATGTATATTTATTTACCCTCAGCATGGTTTTGCAACAAGAAGTTCAGCATGGTTTTGCGACAACAACAACCTGATATATAAAAAAAGTGCTGATCTGTGTTTGCTGTTCTACTACAACCCATTAAAACTCTACAACTTTATTAAAGACCTTTACCCACTTTCTCATGAACAAAACACAATGTCACATCTGTTTGATGGAACTGAGGGGTTGCACACACATGACTGCGGCAAATAATCACATTTATTCACTGAAGTACAATATTATTCCATACCAAGATAGCTGATACTATTGCCTATACAATGAACCTCAATAGTCTCAAGCTCCAGTGATTTCACAATTCAGGGTTTCGATGCAAATTAACTGATGTCTGTTTCATATTTAAACCGCTACACTGTGGAGTGAAGGACTCATCACCAGTTCAGCCTTCATATAAACCATGTTCACTTCATTTCTCTTGCTGTTGCTGGCTGCTGTCTTGTAAGCAAATCCCCTGGATAAACAAACTGTTTTTAGTGTAAATATCCATATTTAAAATTCTAAATGTTGTGTTTATCTGCAGGTATTGACTCTCAGGTTGTGCTCACACAGTCTGAACAGTCAGTAGTAGGCTCCAGGTGCTTCCTACAAACTGACCTGTGCCTGCAGTGGGTTTACTGTTAGTAGCATTCACATGCACTGGATCCGTCAGGACCCTGGAAAAGGACTGGAATGGATTATTTATTATTATTCAGATTCTGAGAAGAGCTCAGCTCAGTCAGTGCAGGGCAGATTCACAGCATCTAAGGACAGCTCTAATCTCTATCTGCATATGAATCAGCTGAAGACTGAAGACACTGCAGTGTATTACTGTGCAAGAGACACAGTGGAAACACAAATACAGGCAGCTCAATCTATGAGTTACGCAAGCTCTAAAGTAACATAAGGCCCATCTGAGGTGTTTTAAATGTACTAAATGCAAAAACATGTCATTAAATGTAATTGTAATTCCTATAAAAAAATAATTACTTTTCACACTTGGTTTTCAGTAAATCTGTGCAGACTAGTCTGTTTTCTACAGTATGTTTCAGTATTAAGTATAATCTGTACAGTCTATAATATTCAGTATTTTAAATTTCTCTTATAGAATTAATGAACTAGGCATTTTTATAATAGAATTTCTACGTCATAACTTCATTATGCAATATGATGCAACAAGTGTAGCTTCCTTCCTTTCTGAGCTAGAAACTGATTGCTGAAAATGACTGAACAATGCTGGTGAATGTCCATAAACAATTAATCTTTCAACCATCCTCTGGCCCCACTTTGCCACATTGGGTCAATACTAAAAAAACATACATTGAAAGACATTATAGAACAAAAGCGAGGACGTGTAGAGTTATTCGGGAGAAGGGGCTCAAATGTAAGGGGCATATATATATATATATATATATATATAATTCTAAAATTCTAAAGTCATTTGCAAGTTCTTAAGCTTACACTTCACATAATAGGCCTGTTGGTGGCACTTGGGCTTTTATTGTTGGCATTTAACCAACAATGATAGTGTCATCAAACGGTGTACCAATATGCAGTATGTACACACGTGGTCAGAATTGTTGGTACCCTTGGAAAATATGATCAAAGAAAGCTGTGAAAATAAATCTGCATTGTTAATCCTTTTGATATTTTATTATTTAAAAATCGCAAAAATCTAACCTTTCATTGGAGAATACGAATTTAAAATTTGGGAAAATATAATTGTGAAATAAATGTTTTTTCTCAAATACATGTTGGACACAATTACTGGTACCCCTACACATTCTTATGAGTAAAATATATCTGAAATATATTCCCATTCATATTCACAATTTTGAGCACACCAGGGTGATTATGAACATGAAAGTATCCAGCCATGGCTTCCTGTTTCACAGAAATATAAATAGGAGGAAAAAACAAAGGCCAAATTCCAAATTAATCACCCATCACAATCAGAAAAACCAAATAATATATGTCTGATGTGCAGCAAAAGATATTTGAGCTTCACAAATTAGAAAGTGGCTTTAAGAAAAGAGCTTCTTAAAATTCCCATTTCCACCATCAGGGTCATAATTAATTTCCAATCAACAGAAAATGTTACAAATCTGCCTGGAAGAGAACGTGTGTCTATATCGTCCTAATGCACGGTGAGGAGAAGAGTTTGAGTGGCTAAAGACTCTTCAAGGACCACAGCTGGAGAACTGCAGAATATAGTTGAGTCTCAGGGTCAGAAAACCTAAAAAAACCCCGTATCAAACAGCACCTACATCACCACATGTTGTTTGGGAGGGCTTCAAGAAAAAAAAATCAAGAGAAGAAAATGCTCTCATCCAAAAACAATCCCCAGCATATTCTGTTGTCAGACACTACTGGAACTTCAAATGGGACTGGCTTCTATGGTCAGATGTAACTAAATTAGCTTTTTAGCAGCAAACACTCAAGATGGGTTTGGTGCACACAGGGATAAAAAGTACCCCATGTGTACAATGAAATATACTGCTGTATTTTTAATGTCGTGGGCCTATATTTCTGCTGGAGGTCCTGGACATCTTGTTTAGACACACGGCATCACTGATTCTATCAAATACCAACAGATAAAAAAATCAAAAAGTGACTGACTCTGTTAGAAATCTTATAATGGGCCATGTTTAGATCTTCCAACCAGACAATAATCCAAAAACAAACCTTAAAAGCAACACAAAAATGGGTCACTGGGCACAAAACCAAGCTTCTGCTATGGCCATTCCAGTTCCCTGACCTGAACCTTCTAGAAAATGAGTGATGAACTGAAGAGGAGAAGCACCATCATGGAGCTGGGAATCTGAAGGGTCTGGAGAGATTCTAGATGAAGGAATTGCCTCTGATCTCTTGTCAGGTGCTCTCTAACCTCATCAGGCATTATAGGAGAAAACTCAAAGCTGTTATTATGCCAAATGGAGGTTTCAAAAAGCACTGAATAAAAGGGTGCCGTTAATTGTGTCCAATGTGTATTAGAGAAAAACAGTTATTTCACAATGATATTTTCCCCCATTTTAAATTCTTATTCTCCAATGAAAGGTTAGATATTTGTGATTTTTTTAAATAAAAGATCAAAAGGATTAACAATACAGATTTATTTTCACAGCCTTCTTTGATCATATTTACCAAGGGTACCAACTATTTTGACCACGTGTGTAAATGGGAGTTAATTAAACACTACTTACAATTAATGCGACAACTTCTATTTTAGCAGGTTTGTTGAAAAAAAAAAAACAGAAAACACCAGTGAATATGTAGTTTTCAACCAATTTATGAATAAGATCAGGAAGATACCGCTCCACTTCACATTATCCAATGAATTTGAACTTGTTTAAGACACACACAATCTATAGCAATGCAATGACAACGATGTCTCAGACTGACAGATATAAGTAAAAATACACAGGTATTTTTCAGAGATTTGAATCCTTTGTTACTGTTTTGTACACATTGTCATATTAATTATAATTCAAATGCATTGTTTTATTGACCACAATATTATTGTAGATAACTGTTGAGAGAGGGCACTTTCAGAGGCGTAGCAATGGGGCAGGCAAATGCCTGGGGCCCCCGATGGCCGACCATTTAAACCAAAAGGAATGTTAATTCTAATAGCTATAACACGCAGCGACATTTCTCCATCCCCCCTATGGGACACCCTCTCTCGATACACTGGTTATGCTTTTGCTGCCTCAGCCACCTTTTTCAAACAGGTACAGTGTGGCCTCGCGGTGCTGTAGATTACAACATGTATGATCTGGAGCAGAGCAGAACACGGGACCCGAGCGTTTTTAATCCATTTCATATGGAAGTTGAGCTTGCGCAACTTAGGAATGAACTGAAAAAAGTTTGCGCACACACACATAAACACGCACGTTAAACATAA